GGAGGGGCCACTTCTGGCCCCCGGGCCTTATGTTTGACACCCCTGCACTAACCCATAGTTAATTTAAGTAAGCTGTGGTTTCATGCGATGACCCTTGGTCCATCTCACTCAGTGTTGTCTATTGTGACTGGCAGTACTCTCCAGGGGGTCTCTAATAGAGAAAGGTCTTTCCCAACACCCAAGATGTATTCCTTTTATTTATTTATTAAAATTTATGTATCTCACTTTTCTCCTTCAACCGAAGGTGCCAAAGATTGAAGCAGGGAACTTCTGCATGCCAAATTGGTGTTCTTACACTGAGCCGCACACATCTCCTTTCCTGGTCTGACATTTGACCCCTATTGCGAATATCCATTATTCTAGTGAAACCAATCTGTTTCCCGATGAATTGTAACATGAAAGATCCCTTACATCAAGCCATTCATTATAGGAAGACCTGAAGGTGAAACCTCAGAGCTGTTTATTTTATATCTCATGTGTTTTATCTTTTGCTACAGTGGGTGTTTGTTTTTTTTAAACCACAGTAGACTTCTTATCCTTTAAAGTCCTGGGATGCAACTGGAAATCTAATTTCAAGGCTTTCCCTCCATATTTTTCTGTCCTTCTTTTCCTTTCTGATTTCTCATTCCTTCTTGTGTTTTTTTTTTAATTCCTCAGTTATAACTGGTTTAATTTTTTCTGCTCTTAAAACTATCTAGGGCTGTATTTTTCTAATTGCTCCCAATCTCCCCTCTTTTCGTCTGTTTAGGCCCCATAGGTTGTAGTCCTTTCCCAGGAGTAAGTCCCATTCAATAAAATGAGATTTGCTTCCAAGTAGGCCTGCTTAGGATTTCTGTGACAGTAACTAAACATTGACTCTTCTGTCCATCTACATGATCTTCCTATTAACTCTCATTTAAGGCTCCATATAAGGAACTGCGGTGGCTCAAGTGGTTAAGACGCTGAACTGCAGGCTGTGGAAGGTCGGTAGTTCAGCAGTTTGAGACCCGAGTTGCCGCATGACGGAGTGAGCTCCCGTCTCTAGTTCCAGCTCCTGCCAACCTAGCAGTTCGAAAGCAAGAAATTGCAAGTAGATAAATAGGTACCACTTCAGTGGGAAGGTAACAGCGTTCCGTGCGCCTTGGTGTTTAGTCATGCCAGCCACATGACCATGGAAACGTCTTTGGACAGCACTGGCTCTTCGGCTTTATGACCACGGAAACGTCTTCGAACAGCGCTGGCTCTTCAGCTTTGAAACGGAGATGAGCACCACAACCCGAGAGTCGGAGTCGACTGGCTTTCGAGCAAGGGAGCCTTTGCCTTTACCTTTTAAGGCTCCATATGTAATTATTCAGGAGGGGCTGTGGCTCAGTGGTAGAGCATCTGCTTGGCATTGGTTGGAGTCCCAGGTTCAATCCCTGGCATCTCCAGTTAAAAAGGACCAGGCAGTAGGTGATGTGAAAGACCTCTGTCTGAGACCCTGGAGAGCAGCTGCCAGTCTGAGTAGACAATACGGACCTTGATGGACTAAGGCTCTGAT